GTCCAAGTCCAAAGGAAGTTGTGAGTTGGCAGCTATGCGAATATGACATCAGGCAGTCAACAACCAAATGTGACCTTTGACCTTGTAGCCAGTTACGAGGTAGAAGGGGTGAGTGGCGGGGTATTCTACAATTGTACCGTGTGGACATTCCTTTCTTGTTGTAGAGTTACGAAAACTTGGTGAAAATACTAATTTTTCTGGAACTGGAAACATGATTTTGGGTTTGTGTAAAAGGTTTCCTTAAATGTTCCTCTCCTTTTGTACGACAGATGACCCTCACCCAAAGATGCCCCTAAACCTCTTTTTCTGAAAAGGGGAAATGTCCTGTGGACATGGGTAATTAAGTCCACAGAATGTCTTCGCATCCTACATCCTGTAAACATCTTTTGTTTACAAGTCCTCACTAGGTATCTGTACTGGTGCATGTTCATATTCACATGTGTACCGCGTCGGTGTGTAAGATCTGCACACATGCCCTGGAATACTGCATATTGTGTACGTCCATGTACAGGTACATTGTGCTGTAGCTAAGTGCCAATGGAGTGACAAATAAAGTTACAATGTGAATATACTTGCAGTGGATATCAATAAAACGTTATACAGGTGCCGGGTACATGCACAGGTACGATGTTTGATGTCAGCATTTTCAATAGCTTAACTGTGCAGCTTATCCAAAAGTCAGCTTGTAATGAAGTCTTCATTAGAAATGGTACAGGTACACTGTACATGTGTCACTTTGAAAAACTGGGTGGCTACATGTACATCAAAGCACGTTGTGGTTATTTTATCCCACACTAAAATCCATGTCCATTTCACGTCAGTATATGCTCGAGTATGCACACGAACCGTAGCTTTTGGAAACTTGAACTGCATAAATTGTTGATTTAAGTTACATGTGTACAGTTCCGGTAGATGTGGGCTTTCTGAGCCACTTACATGTACCGGTATGTAAGTTTCTGGCATCAGCTCTGTGGGTAGGCCATTCCTGCATTAAGGGGACAAGAAGTGGGAACTGCATCAATGGGACAACATTTGACCCCACAGTGTTTGTGGCTGCAATAATGAGTATCTTCAACACATGCAGTCCCCATAACCCAGTCAACAGGGATCAGCAGTACATGTAGACTGTACATGTAGCCCCCATAACCCAGTCAACAGGGATCAGCAGTACATGTAGACTGTACATGTAGCCCCCATAACCCAGTCAACAGGGATCAGCAGTACATGTAGACTGTACATGTAGCCCCCATAACCCAGTCAACAGGGATCAGCAGTACATGTATACTGTACATGTGTAAACATGTACATGTACTACAGGAATAATAACCGGTGGCCGAACAGGCCTTTCCCCCTCCAACCTTTGAGAAGGTCGTTATAATGTCCCCCTTCCACTTTCAACATGTACCAGTAGGCCTACCATTGGAGGTACATGTATATGTACATGTACATGTACATTGCAACTTTAGAATATTGTACTCCTTTCAGTCTGATGTCTGGGGCTTGGCCCCCCCTCTCCCACATTAAAACCGTTCCATCGCTGTTGGTACATGTACGTGTACAGTTAGACCAAAGCCCAAATGTTAAGTCCTCAACCAAATTTTTCACTCTTTTTTAAGGCGATAAACATTCCCCACAATTTCACTTGGTTACCGTCATACCGTTTAAACTTTCCGTTTGAATGGAGCTGCATGCTATATTTTAAGGCTTTAAAATTACATTCATTGATATTAATGTTAATAATTTCTTGGCTATACAGTCATCATTTTCAAAGAGTGCAAACTGGTACATGTATATGTAGAATTAAACAAAAAGAGTTGAAGATGCTGATTCATGAACGGTGTACAGGTTGCCATAGAATGCAAGCATGAGCCAATGACGGCTCGTATTGTGCATGTACATGTACCATACTTGTATGTAAATGCTAGAAGTCACTGCAGGCCTAGACTGTGCTCTGAAAGGTCATGCCCAGCAAAGAGCCCAGGAGGAATGGCTCAGGGATGGCCTGAGCTGACTCAGGGACAGGCCGGGGACTGTCAGTGGCTTGCTGTGTCATTGTGCTTGTCGGGCAGGGAAATTTTCGGAATGTCAAAGAGATGAGCTGACCATGAATGATTGTGTACATCGTTGATTTTTTGAATTTATAATTCATTCAGCATTTATACAACTATCTGTGGAAAATTTGTTGTTGCAGAAAAAAGGGAAAAATTAATTTTAAAAGCAGAAGGGATGGTACAGCAACGACAGTGTCATTCACATCGAAAGCGACCTGGGTTTGCATTTTATTTAGGGGGAAGTTTTTTGTGCATACTAAAGCATAGACTGTATGTACTGTTTATACTCATTGTTCATGCAGATCAGCAGTGTGATTTGGGGCATTGACGTCCAGCCAACAATTGGTTTGAACCGTGAAAATGTCTTGTTACACCAGTAACCAATCAGGGTTCAGAAAAATAATTATCACAGCAGTGTGTGTTACTGAGACCAGGGTTGAGGCAGACCCTAGGAATGAGGTTGTCTTCCATTATCGAAGACTTAGTCTGTGGTGTGCATTTGTGTATTCAAACACAGTAATTTTTAAAGGTAAACTGAATAGATACAGTAAGTGCAGGTTTTGGATACCCGGTACGTGTGCCAGTAGGTTTTTGATGCATTTTAAAAATTCATAAAATTTATATACAATTCAGGAATTTGTTTATTTTTTGTAAGCCTACACATGTACAGTGCGTACATGTACTGTGTATGTGCAATTCATCCATTACATGTACATTTTATCGTTGATTGGATAAGGAAAAAATAACATGCATACATGCACGTACAAGTTTGTGCCACAGTCACTGACAGTACTTTCTAGTTTGCTCCTTTTTATTGGAAGACAATAGCATTGTACATTGTACATACCAGTTCATGTACTGTACATATACATGTATGTACTCACATTGTACATATTGTACACTGTACAGTACATACATGTAAGAACTGTTTCTACGGTACTCATGTGAGACACATGCGGGACATGTTGTTTCAAAGTTGCACATTTACTCTACATTCCATCATGCAAACTCTGATTTATTTCCTGCCTACTGTTGAGCACTTCAGCACAGTTTCAATTACAAGCCGCTGCCCATAATACTGTACATGTATGTATGGTTCAGTGCCACATCAATTGGTCATCGATGACCTTCACTGTTGCACCCACACAAATTTGGAATATTCTCAAGGAAACTGATCTTGAAATGGCCGCAGCGTTTTGTCCAAGATCAATCTTTATTGGACCGTGCGGCCTTGTTTTGGAGCTTGGAATAAGGTTTCATTACACTATTCCCTTTGTACACAATACAGTAGATATTATCCTAAATACATGTAGATGTACAGTATCTCTAGCCATGTATTGGACTTGGCAAGTAAGGGTATAATGTACATGTAACTTGTTTGTGACCAGTTCTCATATAAATTGATGTGTTCTTCTTGGGGGTGGTCGTGGAAAACCTGTTACTGTATGTACATATTATGTACATGTATACCGGTAGACCATTTAGGAATACATGGAATACACTTGCACCATTGAAGGTTTTTTCTTGGAATTCAGGACTTTTTTCAGTGGGCCAACTAATCAAGTTGATGGACTTGCTGGTAGAGTACATGCTTAGTAAATTTATCTACATTAATATCCAAGCCTGTTATTGTTTCCACACGTGGGCTCTGTTACTGTGTACATTTCATCCCAATAAATTTTGCCTGCTGGAGGCATTGAGTCACAAGCTGCATCCAAACCTTCTGGCTGTGGCTAGAAATAACGCACACTCCTATACTTATATGTAGTAGCCGCTACTACAGCCACTGCCAAGACTGCACCCGTGCAGGGAACTGGGGTGCCACTGTGCTGAGCAAAAGGTCAGCAACGAATTTGCTTTTTGAAACAGGAATTACTTTGATAAAATAAACTACTGGTAATTGATAATTGCAATAAATTTTTAAAGCTTTTGCCGTTCTGTTTGTCATCCTTGTCTTTGAAAAGTAGAAAGTCTTGTACATTGTAAACATTCAGAAAATTCATACATTATTTTCTTATTGCCTTCATAAAATGGAATGAGTTTTAGAGGTACTGGTAGTGTATGGTACATGTAGGTACAGTGTACATGTATATGTTCCGTTGTACATGTACTAGGACATGTTACGTAGATCTTTTTCCATTTTAACAACATATCAGTATATTGATAATTATTTTATCAGACCATGTGCATGAGCCAGGTAAATTTTATGTACTGTACATTGTAAATGACATTAATTAAGTTTATTTTACAAGTACAGTATGTCAAAATGACAAATTGTTTATTCATTCAACAAATACATCATGTAGCTTTTCACACGTCTTCCAAGGTTCACTTGGGTTACATGTGTATATGTAAAGCTTTTCCGTACAAGAGTGTTTGCACACTGTAAAATGACTTGGTTTGAAAAGTTCTTTAAAAATAATTGAAACGAAAAATTTAAATTTAAATTTGATTTTAACCAGCAAATGGCACCAAACTAGTGTAAACTGAGGGAACCGTAGGGATGGTTTACGTATATACAAAGCACTTGTACATGTACATTGTGTATATGTACATGTACAGAACTGGAACCTATGGTACTGTACGAGTACACGTTAATGTATGGCACAAGTTTTTTCATTCAGTTCTTTCATTTCTATGTAGGAAAAAGAATAATGAGTTAAAGAATAGGAACACAAACATTCCATTTGGTTTATTTAGAACTTGGACATAATTCATGCCAATTGAAGTACATGTATCTAATTGCTTTTGAAAAAGGGTTTCATGTTTCACTCTTCAGATGAGCTCCTCCACATTACCTTGATTAATCATTAACGCAGATGGCTCATTGGCCAAAGTCTGACACCAAATTGTTTGCCAAGCACTTGGACTTCAGAGGCATCCCCTCAGCCCAAAACCAACCAATCCTTGGGCTGCCCTCGGCATTTGTTGGCGTGGGGGTGGGTGTGATAAGAGATTTTGAAAGTCCGCATAGGAAATTTGGCAACACCAAAGTATCCCAGTCAGATGTAAAGCAAGTTGTGCTCTTGCAGGTTGGTATGGTTCCGGTACATTGCCTGTAGACCAGGCATTTCTGTGGAAGGCAAAGCCATTATTGCAGTCTCACGTGAGTATGGGAGCGTCAAAGATAATTTTAATCTTGTGAACATATGGTTTGTGATAGCCTACATGTACCTGTACATGTATTCCAGTGTGTGGTGTGAAATGGGGAATGAAACAGTTATGGGTCTGTCTTTTAATATGGGGGCCAGTGTGTATTTCAGGTACATCACAATTACCATGACCATTTAAAACAAGACCAGTTTCACATACGTATTGGTCAATTAATACATGTATGTGCTGATTACATTAGAAAAATGTTGATTTACACAATAATTGCGAGGGAAAAAGCTCATTGTTTCTCACTGTTTTTCGGTATTTAGTGTGACATTTTTGATGACCTGTTTCATAAGACATTTCATGCCACTGGCAAAAAAAATAAATCGTTTATTTTCTAACTAAGCTATCAACAGAAGGTAAATGATAATATCGGATAAATCTCCAAATGAAATTCATTTTAATTGAGAGTACAGGTGCCTTCATAATCTGATGTAAAAATGTAACATTTCATTTCTCCAGTTGTTGCGAAGTTAAAATCATTTTTGGCTGTAAAAAAAACAAAAGGCTGTTCCGATTCATTTCAAAAACCTAAAATATCAACTCTAAGTACCCCCAAATATACCTCTTACTAACTCGTATCTGAGATCCCAAACATTTCTGAAGATATCCCTGTCAATTCTCGTCAGAAAATATTTTGGTTACTTGCAAAATTGTTACGTTGTAAATAAAAAAGTTCGTGCAACTTCTAACGTTCACCCGAGTCAGGATCATATTGCAAGCCTGCATGCGCTGTCATGTGATCGTCACGTGACACAGAAATGCCAAGTTCCCGCCATCCCTTCATCATCGAGAAATTTTGATTTTCTCTCAAGACATGAAGGTAAAATTTACCTAAAACTCAACGTACATGTATTTGCTGAAAAAAGCACGAAACGGGCAATGCATGTTACGCCTCTCGGGAAACAGTCACTGGCGCGCGTGTGCCGCGCCGACTCGGCATGCTGGTGCTATTTTGTGAATGGTCCGCTAGGCCGGCACGCTGTGACGTCCTCAACATACATACATTAGCATACAGCTCAAATCACAAAATCGGACGTGGGCATTTTGTTGAACTTTTTGGCATAAACTTTCTTTGCATAAAACTTTCTTTGCATTCCACTTGCATGAAAATGTGAACCGGCATCTAAGTACATATATCTCTGCAACTCTGAATTCTTTGAAATTTTCTTCTTTCTCCAGTAAAGACAGAAGTTATGTTTTTAACTTTCAAGTAGGCCAGTGGGTGCGTGACAAGTTTTTATACGCGTTTAGTCATGGCAGTCCAACCTCATTAATAACAGCATTTTAAATACAAGGTTTTCCTTTAACAAGAATTCTTTTATACGCCTAAATCCTTAGTTTTTGTTCATTTGCACTATAAAAGGTTTCTTTTTTATTCACAAATGTTGAACCCAATGCAATATGTGCAGTGTTTGATGACAATTATAATGCTTTATGACATCAAAATTGCTTCGCATTAATTCCCATTCATCAGAAATATGGACAGGTTTTAGAGTAAATTTGTATCCCTAATTAATTTGAGATCACTATTCATTGACTGCAGACATGAAATGTTGCCATTGTTAAACAAAATGTAATGCAGTTCCCAGTTTGAATTAATGTTTGTATTGTGACAGTTTTCACTTTTGTAACAGAAACCGGTTTCTCTGTTATACCGGTACGTGAAATGAGCCATAAAGCTCTTTAAACTAAAAACTTCAAAACATTGAATTGTTCTGGCAAAGATGCACAAGCTAAATGGCATGCATACCTATGAGCTGTGCCATATATTTGCTATTTAAGCAACTTTGTGTTAAACCAAACAAAACTTTGCAAAACAATTTAAAAATAGCCAAAGAGTGAATTTTTGGGGAAAATACTTGCCCATTTTTATGCCACCTGAAACCCTATCTAGAAAAAACAACTTGTGATTAGAATACATGGTACATGTATGTACACAAACCAAAATTGGCAACAGTTGGAAAGAAACCTTTACCAACCAAAACTGGCATGCATAGAACCATCATATTTGGTTTCTCTGTTACACGTCAAATATTTACCGGTACATGTACCAGCAATTTGCTGCTCTACTGCACAAATGGAGTCTTTACACGTCAAGTAGTTATTCAAGGCAAAAATCATTTACATTTAGTGCATATTTGTACCTATCAATTACATATCAACAAGTTTTGAATTTATTTAGACAATTTTGAAATTTTGACCACCATGTCACACATTTGGCCCCAATTAGAGACACCCATACACATATGTCTACATTTGTGGACCATGAGGTAGAGGCCAAGTGATATGCTCACAGGACACAGACACACAACACAAAATGTATACATGTACACTGTAGATGTACTCCTTGCTCAACTGGATTGAGTAAGATTATGAATTTCTCTTAAGCAAATGCGTCACACATCGCAATTTTTCAATACTTTATGTAGTGAGGAGCTCTGAATTGCTCTTAACAGGTACATGTACATACACGTGTATGCAGTAGATGTGATACTGTACATTTACCCATAGAACAGACAGAGAGTGCAGTGGGCTGTACTGTAGCGTTGTCCACGTACAGTACATGTATGTACCGTACCGTACATTGTGTACAGTACTGTACTGTATGTGGTTGTATACCGCAAATCCTGTTGTCATGGACTGACTGATCAAAGATTCAAGTTTGCTGAAAGATAAATGTACATGTACATGTGCGTACATGTACTTGTACTGTATGTATGTGTTTAGGTACTCGTATAAAACTGTACATACCGGTACCTGTAGGATCTTCATGTAGTGTTAGCACTACAGGTACATGTAATTGAATTTTCCACCTTATATTCCACAGATTACCATTAAAACATACAAGCATTCTTAGACGTGGCATCAGTTCTCAAGAACAAGATGTCAACTCACTCGCCCTTCATCCTTTCAAGACCAACCTCCAAACCGAAGAGGCGGACTGGCATGGCTTCACCTCTCACTAAAAAGAGGCGCTCCTCCCCCAGATCAGCAGAGAAGGCGGCTCGGCCCAGGCGGCGTCTCGGGGTCGCCACAGTTACCAGTAATCATCAAGGAGGCAAGAAGAGACACCAGAGAGATGGAGTCAGAGACATTGCTTCTGTAGCCCAGTGCCAGGTAGTTATGTACATGTATATTTGAATATTGAACATAATAGAGTAAATGATTCCCAACATATCCAGTCCAAACAAATCTCAAAACAGTTTTCTCGTTGGTGTATTAAACGTTTGAGTCGTCCATGACCCTCAGGGGTGGATCTACATGTACCATACCGATAGTTTTCAGGGAACAGAGAGGTTGATACAAAAGGGATGCATATGAGTGTGTAAAGCTCCATACATTGTGCATATACATGTAGCTGATGGCACACGCATGTGCTCGCACATGTACTCCTTCCCCCACCAAAAAAAATCTAACAGCGTCTGCATGACGCCGTCCCTTGTACCAGTATCCTAATACAGTTAAATACATGTACATGCACCTGTTACATGTACATGTAGGTGTTGGCATTTCGTTGGCTACTTTTAACCCCATTGTACCTTCATTAACCAGTAACCTACATGTACAGTGTGTAACTGAAATGGTGAAACCTTTGTGTATCGTACGTGTGTGCAGGCAACAATTGGCAGCAACTCAGTGGCCTTATTCAGATGTAATGAAATAAAAATTTCAAATAGGGGTAGCACGGCTATCTTTACTGTACAGGTCTGTACAGACGGTGCAGGCTAAATTACACCTGAGATATTGAACGTTTTTGAGTTGACTTGAAACAGTTTGAAATTAAAAAGTTATCTTGTGTTTATTCTGATTTCCACAGGAATTCCAAGAAGATCTCGACAGACTGATCAGCTGGTTAACAGCCACCATTGACCAATCAGAGCAGTGGAAAGCACCCTCCGACAACACACTCAGCATCAGAGTACAGCTGGAAAAATACCTGGTACGTATGTCATAAAAGCAGTGACACCCGGGCAAACTTTGACAACTTGCATGAGTTCCTTAGCTTTACAGCCATTTGTAAGCTGCATCTGGATGTTTTGATCGCGACTATGAAGAACATGTTTCCCCTAGACACACATGCCACTGTCAGCCACATCCACTTGACTCAGACAGCCGCATCAGTCTTGCAAGAGTTAGCTTGCAAGTACATAAGGGTGATTTCCCTCTGGTGTTGTGTTCCTGCAGAAGGGAAATTTGTTCAGTCCACAGTTTTTCAGTACCGGTATAAACCGGTATGGCACAAAAATATCGCAGATTTCAGCTCTGTATTCTTTCTTTCAGATCTTGAAAAATACATGTACATGTGTATACAGGTACAATGTACATGTACACTATGGCATGGGCCATTCCTGCATGTAGTACAGCACTGTAATGCAGTGGCTATAAAGGCTACAAGTACGTTGCATGAACTGCATGTACATGTAACTTGGTCTTTATTTGGATGGCATGCCAACAATTTGGCAATCAGGGATTGAGCTTAAAAAAATACAGACCATGCCATCTGTCCAGATGGATCAATATTTCATCAAGCATCGTTGAACCTTATAAATTGATTTACTTGCCGTTCCCTCCCCAAAGAATTTTTCATAATTACAAGCAGGATCAAGGGTGTTTGCTGGATATCGCCAGCAATTAACTACATGTAATTCTAATTTTAAGACATTTGGTCTGGAAGCAAAACTTTCTTGACAGTTCAACCACTCAAATCTGCTGGTAGGTGTTTAATTACATGTGTGTTTACCATTCTCACTGTTAAACTTTTGACAGCTTATCTCCAGAGGAAAAATTTTGACATTTAAAACTAAACACTTTTTACCAGTAAAAGAGTCATAGATCTCTTATTAACATGCAGGCTGTTCAACACTGAAATGATTTTGATGCAGGCACTGTAGATAAAACATTCATTTTACGCTATCACTGACCAAGTTTACCCCGTAAGATTAAAGACAGTGAAGAAGTAAGTTTTTTTAAGGCTTGATCCCCTGTAGTCATGCAGGCTTTAGTTTGACTGAATACCACATGTACAGTATGCATCATTTACGAGGGATGTGAAAATACAGTCAAGCACACATTTAGATACTATACACACAGTAAACTCTAAGTCGGCATCGCGTAATTCGTCATAATTTCTTGAGTCCCAAGAGTGCTAACTTAGCCCGAGTTTACTCTACATGTACATGTACTACATGGTACTTAAAGGCATGTATGTACAATGTACATTTACCTGCACAATGGAAGAAAGTAGATGCGAATTGTGATAAGGAAGGTGCACTGTACTCAGTGTAAATCCAACTCTGACCAAATGGACAATACTCGCTACATTGTCTGTTTCAGTGTGTACATAGTACATATTGTACATGTAAGCGGACGTGATATCTCCCAGGTGTACTGTACGGTACTAGTACATGTACATGTATGTGTACATACTGTACATGTACAGTACCACACTTGCACATGGACATGTATATGTATGGTTGTTTGGGGCATTGGGGATTGTTTTAAGTTTGACAGCGCTCTTTTTCCTTGAAATTTACTTGGATATGAACAGTGTAATTGTTGCGCATGCCTGTAAGAACTTCCAAACTTTTCATTTTAACTCAAAGCATTTCTCGTAGCTTTGTCTAGTGCCACACCCTCAAGTGAGTTGTCATCAGTATGCCTGAGTATTGTACTGGTATCAGTACATGTACAGTACATGGAGGCTAAGGCATCAGGAACACATGCTGTTTGCAATCCAACAAGTTGAAGATGCATAAAATGTACTAAAACGTGCACAATGTACTTAAAAAAAAGAAAGAAATACAAAAGAAATCCAACATTTTGTTTTTTGAATATTTCATTTTTTATTAGTCATTCATTAGCAAAGAAGGCCTCAGAATATAAAATTGATTTATTTACATTATAGTCGATAGAATGAGAGTACCCAATACATATGTACATGTACATGTACAATGTACATTACAATCACTAACATTTGTATTTGCTGCTAGCCTCAGTCAAGGCATTCGTCATTAGATACATGTACATGGTACATGCTACATGTAGCTATCCATTTGAATCATGTTTTTGGCGGAAAAATCAAGGCGAACAGCGACCTCACGCGGGTGGCATGATATGCATATAAGTTGAATCAAGACGAATGCCTGGCTTCATCTGTTTCCAGAAAGGTTTGGGGCGGTGTTCGTTATGATAATAACCCCAGCTCACGTTGAAAAGATTTTTATTTCATTGGTTAACAGGGTAACTGCAGCATGTACTGTGTGCAACCATGTGGTCATGGACATCATATTACAAGTGTGCGTGTGTAGAACCCAGCGCGCGTTGCATGCGGCGGAGTGTTTCAGATTGTCGACTCGCTAGTGAAATTTTCCCAGGTATTGAGGTCTAGAACGTCCAAGCATGGAGAATTAGTCCAAAGTTTCACCGTAATATAAGCTGTACATATCTTCTCCACTTGTTCCTGAGTTGTCCCATGTGCCTTGCAGCATAGCATGCACGGGAAGGGCTACACGAAGAATAAAGATCAAATTTACATTCAACTCACACGAAAGACGTCGTTAACATGACTCACACACCTCATGGTTGCCTGCTGATCGAGACAAAACTTCAAGTAACTGATAAATTACCGGTGCATATAAAGAGAGTTTTAGTACACCAATGCAGTTCAGCCATGACTCAGCCAAGCTTAACCAGCATTATATTTTGATGATATAGTTGCATATCAATATGATGAAATTGGGATAATCTCTGATTGGACAATCTATAAAGTGCACGCCCACACTCATTTTACATTTGCATATGAAGTCAGTTGCAAGAAATCATGCAAAAAATAAAGACAAACTGAAGCTTTCACCATGTTCACAGAAGGTTGAACTAAGGCGATCATTCGGGTTCAGCTGATTTGCATATGATTTTTTTAATTTTCCAATGTACATGTATATGAAAAACATCAGTTGAAACGAATAGCTATCGGTGCGGTGTACTGGTAGCTAGTGATGGATGCTTTGACCAAGGCTACCGCTAATTTGCTGCAGGCACTTTGGTTTTATTAAAAAAAAATTAGGGACCACCTCATTTTCCTCAGTACCCAATGGGAAACCTTGATGGGACACACGGGATACTGGTGGCTTCTGCATTCATTCTACGCCGTTATGTTCATTGTAAAACAAATTCACAAGTTTTGGCAGTAGCCCCGCACAAAGTATCCCAGACTTACCGGTAACAACATGGAAACTTGGCTTGTATCAGGCTAACCGGTATCTGCACCAGAGTGCTTTGTTTCAGCATGTGTTCAGCACTGATGGAATTATAATACCGGGTACATCCCCACTGTGCCCCACAGGTACCGGTAATTTTTTCCGCTAACTGACCTTTCTAACGAGTCCAGTGATCATTAATGTAGTATCACTGGGACATTTTGCATTAACGTAAAGATCATTTCATATTTTGGGTAACGGTACTTTTGACATTATTCCCAATACCGTAGGTTTGTATGACACGTACATGTATACCTACATGTACGTACATGTACCAGTTTGCCATATACTGTACATGGACCAGTATCTCAGTTGAAATTAAATGTACATGAAAATAGGCTTGGGAGTTCATGGTTATAATTAAACCATACACCTGCTAATGGTATCAAGTCTGCAGCTCATCACAACTTCATTGTATTTCCCAGAGGTAAAATGAAAAGTGTCAAGTCTTGAAGAAGTATTTAACTTAATCTGTTCATGTTTGTGTTGCGTAATTTCTTTATTTTATATGTGCGGTATACATGTAATTTTATCATCCTATGTTGCTTGTATAAAATGGAATACATATTTAATGTTTGGTCTCGGTGTCGACCTGCAAAAGTTTCAGTCTTGAAGTCTTAGTCTCGGTCGGTCCGTGAAGGAGTGGGTCTGGGTCTTGGTCTCGTCTCACATGCCTCGGTCTCAGTGTTGGTCTTGGGCATCAAGGTCTCAGATACAACACCAGTATGATGCATGTACATGTACTACAAATCAGGAAATAGGTACTGGTACATTAATGAGATTTGCCGAAATCCTGTTGAAGTGGATAATTTTGTTGACTTTGTTCCCAACCGCATATCCTGGAACCACTTTAACCAGTCTGCATTCTAAAGATTTAAATAACAGCTGGCAGAACCAATCTCATATACAGTGTATGGTATGCACAGGTACCTTGGCCTTCACCGGTCTTGATGTAATAACAATATTTTCTTATCTTCATCATATACTGTTAATCCACTTCACTTTGGCTGTGGTAATGGGTCTCTGCCATACATGTATACATGTATGTATATGTACGTGTATGTGTATAATGCTGCCTCAGAGCAATGCAGTTATGGTATTGGACACTTTATGATCGTTGACAAAAACGCTCAAAATTTATCAGGATCTACGTGGTGTGACCTGCTTAAGAGTGTATTTCACTGAACAAACATATCCGAGAAGACAAATTCAACAAATTCATGGATTTTGAATATGATATTTAATTCAACTCCCCAAAATACGGGTATTTGTGTTGGAAATTTTCTCACACGAGAGGATTGTGCCAGTACATGCACATGTCTTTTTCAAACTGCCAACAACTAGCAGTTATAGGCCCAGATTGCCTGCTCAATTTGTCGGTCAGCTTGCTGCAAGAGTGTACCAACTTGGAGTGCCCCTTCAATTTCACAAAGCATGGGCATGGCAAGACCTGCGAAAGGTCTTCTGTACTGATTAGTTTATATGAAAGGTTCAAGGAGATAAATTATCAAGTTTCCACCATGTGTCCCAGTGATGCATCTTGACAGGGAGTATATGTAAAAACACTGAATATGATGCATCATTAGTCACCTTGTTTGCTTTCACTGCATTTAAAGCTGGCCTGGGAAAAATGCCAAGCAGTGTTACTGCAAAAAATAGGTACATCCTGTTGTCAATTTTTTTTCCATCACTGTAATCAAGCTGACACTCTGTTTTCCTTCAGGCTTTTGCTATGGAACTTCAGACCCGACAGCATCTGAAAGACAACGTTATACTCCGGGGACAAGACCTCATCTACCAGTACCCCCACCTTGCCAGCAACCTTCAGACTACGGTGGACCTCATCGCCAGGCAGTACCAGCGGCTGGAGGAGAGGCTAGACACCCAGTTCAGACAGCTAGAGGAAGCGCTGGCGGCCCTGGAGACTAGCACCAGATCAGACTCGAAGGTAGTTGACAGTTATTCCTGACCGCTAGTTTCTGGCCACGTCATTGGCCAGCGAGTGTTGAGTCACATTTACGCACCGGTTCCTGTGCTGATATTTTTGCTCGGGTGAATTCAGTCATAGTTTCACTGCATCGGGGAAGGCTCTAATAAAGTCAGTCTCTAATTGCAGTTGTTCTGGTTGGGATGTCCCATTCAGGATTTATATTAGTGTGTGTCTGGTAAGTTCATTTGACTTTAGTGTGCTGTGTTCATATACACACACTGTAGGCCTACCATTTTAAATATATTTTGAAGACAGTGAAATTGAACAAGTCTGCTGAAAGCTAAATGCAAAATAACACATGAGGTTTAGGCAGAGATTAATTATCACCATCTTTTTTGTCAGTGTGGGTAGGGAAGTTGGCCGACAGTGTGCACTACATGTATTTAACCAGGAAGTGTTCCGCTGGTTTTTTGCTCTGTTGCGTGGGTTTTTTCCCCTCATTAGGGAATTTTCTGTGGTTCCGATCATGGTTTGTATGGGTTCAAGCCAGTGTTGATTTGTAACAGTGCTTGGGTTACACACTTGTGATGGATGTCACTGAACCGTATCTGTGTGTCCTTGTATGGGCAGGTTTGTACTTGCTAGTGTTCAGAATCACATCTTTGAACTGCGTCTGTTTATGTGACGTTGCTATGCAATGTGGAATGTTTATGTTGCACACAATTCACTTGAACTACATGTACTGCTTAATATTTGGAAAAATACATGTACATGTAATTTGCCCTGACATTGTTGACGGAAAAGTAGGATTTCATGGAGGAGGTTTTCATGAATTTTTCAGGTTCAAATTTTTTTGTTTTATTTTTTGTTTGCAGAGGGAGATATTTTTTATTTTTGTTGAATGCAACAAAATGTATACATTTACATAAACATGTCTGTCATGTATACTGTACATGTACATTACATTATACATGTCATTATACAGTGTAGAAATGCTTTAAACTCAGTTCTCTTATGGAGGGACAGAATTCAATGTTGAATATCAATGTACATGGAACCCTTCACCCAGACTACTTGTACTGTATATTAAAAGTCAGACACTGAATTTTTTTTCATTGGAGTGATAATTTTTAAGTGTTCAGGACTGTACGACTGTGAAAATGAAAAATGTTTGAATTGTACTTGCATGTACATGTAGCGGTAGCAGCCATTCAGATGTATCCGGTTCGTAAGTGACTTCGTAACAAAGGCGGACGCGCCCACGATTCGCAGGCTGTCATTGGACGATCGCAGAAGTTGCGTGTTAACTTCCGGTTCCATGGCTCCACATAAATGGCAATCAATGCATGTAACTATGTGCAGTGCAGTGCAGTGCACGTGTGCAGTGGGTGTGGTTTAAACTGAAGTGATGTCACACTTACGAACCAGATAGAGGTACATGTAGAACACTGTACCGGTACTTAGGTCTTCAGTACCCGGTGCATGTACATGTAGGCTGTCACAAACAGTACATGTACATACTGGTACATTTATATTTGGATATTGATTAATTCATGCTTGCATTTTTCAAAAAATCTGTGGGTTTTATTTATATGGCTTGGGAAGGACAACATTTTCTTGGGCAGTGGATAAACTTCACATTTGCTTCACATTGCACTGAAAATGGATTGTGGTCTAATGTCACATTTGTTGTTTAACAGAAGTTGTATCTTACTTGACCTTCATGTACATGTACATGTCAGACTGCATGTACAGTACATCCATACGCCTGGACCTGGTACAAATTGACCAAGATGAACTCAGTCTTATGTGATGGAAGTTAACCTCGCCACAAGTCTTCATGTTTTTTCCTGACTTTTTCCAGGATTAAAAAAAACAACTTTGTTCACTGAAGGTTGCTCCCACAAGACTATTTTGAGAAACAAGTAGAAGTCAGGTCAGCAGGAAAGACAATTTCCTTTATTGCCTTCCCTGCAAGATTCAGTGATTTACTTAGTGCAGTATATGACCTCGGATCCAAAAATAGAACTTTCAAGATTGAGGCAAGGGAATTTTATCTGTGCAGTTGCATGTGTCACTTTAAGCCTGTGGAACCTATTTATAGCCCCAATCTAACCTTATTACATGTGCAGTAGCATGTATACATTGTTTATGGTACATGTTCAGTACCAGCCATTTTCTTGCCATATAGATGTACATGTACATACATGTACTGGTACAATGTACGCCCTTGCGTTTTGGAAAGTTTCCACGACATCTGTATACAAATTCAGCAACAAGGAAACATTTGCCCGTTGGCTCCCCTAGCTACCGGTATGCACCTGTCCGTCTGCTAGCTTTTGTACATGTACATTACCATGTAATTTGATTTTGTGACAATTTTAGCCGTTTTTCATTCGTTGGACTCGCGTAGCAGCATGATCTTCAGTCTCCTAGTTAGTGATATTCTTGTTGCCAGGGCCCAGTGCACAATGTACATGTACATGTAGGTGTTTGATTTATAAACAGAAGATGTCAAGCTCGATCATTGGAAATGCTGTCAAGAAAATAGTTTTATCCAATTCAAGGCTCAAATGGAATTTTTTAAAGGGAAAGTAAAGTCCAGTGTGTTTTTGGCATTTGTGACTCCAGTTAAGGCCCAAACTTCATAGATCTTGGTCCCGCCCCTCAAAGACACTGTACTAATGCATGCGTGGGACTAGACGGCAACAAGACCATCACTAATGAATGCGATTTTCATGGACCGCCATCTTGAATGATACGGGTAGCAACAGCAAAACCAAAGGTGTGAATGAGTACTGGACTTCAACACACACTAACTTTACAAAAATCGCTCGCTTTACACAACTAATCCTGGTTTATAAGCCCAAGGATTTCGCATCCATGGGAAATGTTGAAGGAGGTCTGGATCCATGTGACGATCACACAGAGATCCTTGCGATCTGGTGACAAGGATACACCATCACATGATCGATACTTCATGTACAGTGCGCATCTCTGCAATCATGATGTCAGTGCCATTTCATTACACGGGACCCCTGTTTTCAGCACTCAAGTGAAAGGGTCTTTTGGTGCATTTCATTCATTAGAGACTCCCACTGCTTGTAACCCCAAATACAATATACATGTACATTGTGCACTGTGTACAAACTCTAAAGCACTCTGACGTAACAGATGTTTCTATTGTACGTGTACTCTGTGCATTCTTGTACCAGTGCCTAAAGGAACAATTACCAGTGTGCATGTGGAGGACGATCCTATTTAATTCATACTCCTTCCCCAGGAATTTTTTAGTGAGACCATGGCAAGTCGGTTGAATGGGCTAATTACCAGTAGCAAGCAATAAGCATCATTGTTCTCGATAACCGCTGGGTATTGACACTTGGGGGGCCAATCTTCCATTATTTGACTGTACTGGTACTTTGGGATTCTTTCCTTTTAGAGCTTTGCTGTATACATGTACATTGTACATGTACATGTAGCAGACAGTTATAGTGCATACATGTACATGTATTTTAGATGGCTGGACATTGTTGGGTGTTCTTTGATGAGTTTGATTATTCAAAACCAGACACGAAGCACTATTTCCCACCACATGGATGCTTTACTCCCATATTTAAAAAAGAAGAAGTTTTTGATGCATTCTTTGGATGCAAAAGCAATGTTTTGAATCACTTGAAATATGTGTACATGTACATGTTGAAGTACCATACTGGGTAGTGAAAAGTTTTTCTTTATTTTCAGAACTTTTGCTCTCAGATTTGACAAAGAAGGTTTCCATAGCACCGGTGTATAAAAAGAAAACAAAAGAACCGGATGTATGTACCCAGTGGTACCCACCATTTTTAGTCTGGTATCGGTCCTGGGCACCATCCCAGGTGCACTCTTCAGACAGTATGTTTTGGCCTTGAACACGTACATGTACTGGTGTGTAAATTTAAGTACTGGTAACATTGTACTTCAAAATTCAAGAGATGATTTTTTAAGACTTTAAATTCTTGGGAATGGGCAATAAAGCAACCCTTGAACCACTTGTGTACAAAACTTGAAAGCTAAGCTTCATGAACAGGCTTGGGAAATTGGTGTTGCAAAGAGTTCCAAATTAAAAACCTCGTTAAGGAGAGTGACTCAGCATACAGAAGCAGGCATCTGTGGGGATGAAGAGACCATACATGTACATGTATTTATATCAGATGTGACGATATCAGATGTGTGATGTGATGTCCATAGATATTCGCTACACATCACTCCTTGTCCGATGCAATACTTGGTTCTTAGACTAAGTAAAAAGAGGACTTGCTGTGTCATCTTGTTTAAGGATTGTAATTACTGAGATCTTCATGTACATGTATAAGGGTCATTCTATAATTTCAGGGTCCAATGGTGTGACATTTTTGCATCCTTGTAACACTTGACGTGTGTAATTGGACATTAAATCACTGAAATTGATGTCAAACTACGTTTGTATTTCTATTTGTTTATCCGGTAATTTCCATTAATTCATTACCCTTGGAAATTAGAGAATGTGTTCTGAACTTACAAAGTCATGTCTCAGAAGTGACAGGGACACACACAAAACAATTGGACCCCTAATTTATAGAATGGCCCATAATCAAGTTGGTAATTGGTCTGCTTGGATTCTCACTATTCCCTTATGAGAAGGAAATGTCCTGTACAGGAGACCATCTTAATACTCCTGAAAATGTGTACATACCAGGTACACATTGTACACAGGCATTTCATTAACTATTGTCTGCCTTATCTTCAGATGCATGTAATGCCAAAGAACTTGTGACCTTCTGTCTTCCTCTTTCACCTCTTTTGCTGCACACACCGTGTATCACTTCTGAAAACCACAAGTCTTTCAGTCCTTCCAACATCTACCCAGCTTTTCACATTATTGCCACCATTGTTTTTTTTAATTTCTGCCAGGTGGTCATTTATCAACATGGAAGTACGGTACATGTATTTGTGACATTGGTTCACTTAAAATTTGAAAATCTCTCAGTAATAGTTTCTACATTACATGTACTGTACATGTACACTTCTCTTCTGCAAGGAAGAATCTAACCCAGTGTAGCATTGTGGTTAACATAATGTTCGCATATACAAATAACCTCATCTACATGTACATGCAGAATTGTATCTGACCTACATGTTGACCTTACTGCATTCATATCCATGTTTGTTTCATTTGACATATGGCAATCTCAAGTGATGGCATTAAAATGAAACTCTACATGTACATGTACATGTACTGGTACAGGTTTAAAGCATTTAAATTAGAAAATCAGTCTGTAGACTTATGTATGTGATTGCTTTAAAGTTTCATGTACTGGTACTTATCCATGCTAAATCATGTGCTATATAGATTGTTATTTGCACATAATTATTCAGTGCTGTTCTTCACAATTCCACGAAAAACAGATGTCTGACAAAATGAGTTATCCATTGTTATCCATTATCATTAGTCAACCGTCCAAATGGTACCGGCCATACAATGTAGCTTGTGACAAACCAAAACCTGTCATAAAAGAACCAGAAGTACAAAGAAAACAAAATTTGGGGAACTTACGGCTTGGGAATTGCATTTGGATTCCACAACAGGGTGTCATTACAATAACAGTGCTCCTTACATGTACATCAAATGTCTACTGTACAAATCATACATGTCATACAGAAGTCATTATTTGAAAATCTTCAAACAGTATAAATTTAGTGTCATTCAGAAATTTTTGGAAAGGCCTTAATAATATTATGATATAAGAAAGTATGATTTAATTTTATTTTTGCCGTTGCCATGAACAAACTTTCTGCCATTATTTTTCTCCATAATGCAGGGTCACCGGTCATTTGATGCTGAGCTGATCATAGACTCGATCGAGCAGATGTCGTTCCGCCTTCAGAACAGCAAGCGGCGCAACTCTCCCATGGAAGTCAGTGTGAAAGCCTTGAACAAGCAGGTGGACACATTCAACACATCCAACAAGTAAGTGAAAAACCAGAACCAGTATGGTATGGAGACTCCCGGCATTTTCTCTGAAGTGCGCATTTAGGCAAATGTGCAAAGAGTTGCAGTCGCCTGGTGTTTTTCTTTGTCTTATTTATTTTTGGCCTTTGAAGGATCCTCGTGAATGCCATCAGATTATTTTGTACGAAAATTTCCAATTGTTTAAAATTTTGGTGGAAGAGCTCAGGTGTAGATTTTATTTTTCAAAACAGATACCAACTCTGGACACTAAGTTATTTTGTTCAGAATTTTGAGAGTTTGAATTGGCTTCATTTAGGATAATCATATCTTATTTGTCAGGAACCCTTTTACGATACCACTTTCCTCTGGAATTATGACTGTAAATATCAGTGGCCTAATCAGAATCGGAATTTGACACAGCACGCTCACTTGACAGTTTCTTGAGTGCCATAGTTTGAGTTCGTTCATCCAGGTGGGTCCCTTTTTTCACACATAATGCTCCCTCCTACCCTCAAAGGTTGGCCTCGACTGGAGCCAGTGATTCTTCTTGTAGCTCCTCCCCCGACTTTGATGTTCTGTATGAGGAGCTTTCCGATTGGCTGAGTGAGCTGAACATGGCTGTGACGGACAGCCAGAAAGGCCAGTCAGATCAGAGGATGGAACAGATGTTTAAGGTAAAGAACAAAGTATGTGCACTGGTGAGCTACAAGTCAGAAAGTGTTGTCGGGCGTGCAACGTTTCCTTGGATCAGCAGATTTCCTCGTTTTTCACTTCCCGCTCATGCCACTGAAAGTGAAAAACACTGTACAAAGTCTTGTCAAGATGGATATTTCCTCATTTTTGGTTAAGTCCAAGATTCGTGCCTATGTTGTACTTGATCTCTTGGCAGTACAGACATACATGCACTCAGTGTAGCCCATAACAAGTTCTTTTGAATAACTGTTGGTAAACTTGGCATTGCTTCATCTCTTCCCCCCAAAATGTTTTTGTGACAGCTTATTGGAATAGCTCGTGAATGAGGTAAGAGTGAATGACTTGTGATGGACTTGCAGGGACTTGTGATGGACCTCCAGTACAACACTGACTTACACGTACAGCTGAATGATACAACCACATTGTTTTCAATGGCAGGAAATACAGACTGCTGCACTCCAACCTCTGTCCATCGGACAGGATGTTTGGATCAAAGTCACCACATAATACGAAGTGCTGTTCTCATCTCTGTTTTGAAGCATTGTTCTCCTTGATATCTGCCATGCTTTGAAGTAGTGTGTCCACTGCCCTCTTTGACCAAAAGTCTCCATTAGCGTCTGCTCACCACAATTCTAGACTGCGCTTTTTGTTGAATCCAAATAAATTGACATTCTCCAATCAGGTGAGAGTCACAAAGTGTCACAAATCTTTTTTCCTTATAATTAACCTATTTTCTTGACGACTGTCCAGGGTTATACACAAGAGCTGCACCTCCGAGAAGTAACGCGGGCTAAACTTAACAAGAAAGCCCATCGCATCGTGGCCCGCCGCCCCTCTACCACCGCCGAGGTCTCCACCAAGCTCCAGGCCATCAATGAGCAGTGGGCCAGTCTCCAGGCTCGCCTGGAGCAGCCGACAGCCACCACCTGCTCCCCAGGGGACCCAGCTGTCTTTGCCAGCTCGGAGGAGGTCATGACGGTGACTCTGGAGGTGGAGGAGGTCATAGTGCAGCTGAAGGTGTGGCTAACGGAGATGGAGAGGAAGCTGTTTGCCACGGAAAGCATCAAGTGCCCCGGCAGTGTGGAACACATGGAGAAACGACTGGAAGCACACAAGGTATGGGTCACCATCACCTACATTCAGAAATTTCTTACTTCAAACGACCCTAGTCTGATGTAACCATAAAAAACTTGCTGAGGGCCTATTTCATGATCTCATGAGCTTCAATTAGTACATTAGAACCAGAGTTACAGACAGAAAGGATGAACCACCAACACAGGGCTGGTTAGCTCAGTTGGTTATGTACTGGTTTGGTGTTCCAGAGGTTGCAGGTTCGAAGCCCACTCCAGTCAGTTTCTTTGTTCATCATAATAACTTATAAACGGCTTAAATAACTTGTGTTTATCAATGTTGTTAGTAAATTTAGTAAAGTTGAAAGGTTTTTGGATGACAAAGGTAACCCCGTTTGTCCAGATTTTTTCTTTTAATTTATCTAAAATCACTTATTTAACAAATGCCCTATCTGGAATTGTCACCTGTGTGTGTGAGAATCGCTTTCAATGTTGTGAAATTAAAAGAAAAAGACAAAAAGAATGAAAAAAGTAAACAGAAACTCTTGATTTCTGATAGTAATAACAATAGCAATTATTTAAAAACACTTTCCATGTCAGTGACATCACAAAGTGCTGTCCAATGAAAATCCTTTGGTTGATAAGATTAAGAAGATTGGTGTCCTTTTCTTTGTAGGAGCTTCAGGAGGACATTGCTAAGAATTCAGAGGGCATCCAGGTGGTTCTCAACATGTGTGAGATTCTGCAGAAAGACAAGCACGCCTGCGCCAGCGAGAAGGAGCGAGAATCGCTGCAGTTGGCGGCTTTTAACCTGGAGCGTCGCTGGCAAGCCATCCAGGCACAGGCCATGGCATTACAGTGCAGTCTGGAGGAAAAAATCCGAACGTTCAAGGTAAACACACACAGATCTGGTCATTGGGGGGGGCTCAGATGTCTAAGGAAAATTTTGAAATTTATCATTAACATTTTTGTTCCGGAGTTAACATCTGGACATAATTGCACTGTAAAAAAATCACTCTAAAAATTCAAAAAATGTGTCTTGTGATAAAGTTTAAGTACTGTTGTAGTGAGTCCACACACATTTGTTGTAGAAATTTGATTTCAACTTTGTAAATGTTATCGCTCCTTTAATTAATATCGGTTACAAATACGTATAACATGATTTTTCCTAGTATATTTTCTTATATTAGCTGATTTGAAATTCCTTTTTGAAAAAAATGTGAATGTATGTCTTTATGCTTTTGTTACAGGGAAACAGAACAGCAGTGGCTGAAGATATTCAGAGTGAAGCTGCCTCTGTTGGTGACAAAGGGAATAATCCCTTGCCCTCCATGAAAGCTGATCTCCTTCCCTACCAGCCCTCTGGTGCTAAAGACGATTCAGCTTTATTCAGTCTCGGTCATGGCATCAACTATGATGATATACTTCTAGTCCGTGAGGCGTTTTCAGAGAATGATGCCTTTAGCATCAGCGATGCATCTGAGGTGTCTCTTGGTGACTTTGCATTTGATGATGTCCTACCTATGAAGGGGGAAGACGAAGAGGTGCCCCTGTCCGTCCCATCCCAGACCCCAGACATCATGGAGATGAGTGATGAGATGATTGACGCCTATCTCAAGATGGAGGAAGATCAGCTGCGGCTGGAGGAGGCCTCCATCAATGGCAACATGCTCCCGGATGTTGCCGAGATCAGAGGCAGGAGCAACTCGGAGTTGGAATTCTGGTCCATGTCGCCAAGGGAGGATATCACAATGTCCAACTCGGTAGAGCTCCCCAATGTCATGCCTTCCCTGGCAGACTTGGATCAAGAACCGGTCCTCCTCCGAGAAGGAGCTAACTCCCTAAAAGCGTCTTCAGCCCACTCTACAACAAACTACCACCGGATCACCTTGGGCAAGTACAGTACCGGAACGGTGGATTTCATGTCATCTGTGGTCAAAGATACTCTGGAGAGCCTCTGCTCTGATGACGAACTGGAAGACGATGTAAATGAAGCAGATGATGAAGATGAAGAGGATGTAGACGTGACGTTGACTGATGAACGATGCAAGAGTAGAATCCAAGAAAATGATAATGATGATGGCCAAGTCCTTGGTAATCTTGTGTTCACCATGGAAGACTTAGATGAACCCATTGCCACCCCGAGCCCTGTCCCCAAACCTGTGAAACATCTCAGCCGTTCACTACCAGTGATCCATCACACCTTGCAAAGCAGAGACATCCCTACCCATGATTACCCTGCATCCTACCCCACCCAACCGGTTCCCAACACCTGGTCTCATCCGAGCGTCACCATTGCTAAATCTCCTCGTCAAAAGAAAGGTTTTTTCCCTTCCCATGCTACCTGTTTCTTACCCAACCCCTTTGACGAAGTCCTCAGTAGCAGTCCAGTTAAACAGGAGAAGTTTATGAACACAAGTCCCTCAACTGAGCTCCGTAAGCTCCGGAGACGCCTGAGCCAAGTCTCCAATCCATTCAGTGAAGAGGAACCAAGACGTCAGCAGAAAGTGACATCTCCCCCTCCCCGAGACAACCTTCTTGAGATCACAGACCTCAGCTTGTCCCATATGTATGAGTCGCTGGACTTGGTGACAGAGCTGACGCATTCTCTTATGCCGGGTGCTCGTCCCCCAAGAGATGATGTTGACATTCCGCTGGATTTCCCGCTCCTTGAACAAATTGAAGATTCTGATTCAGATTTGTTCAGCGACAGCAGCGAAGAAATAGAAAGAGAAGAGCTTGTCCAAACGTGGATCAACGAAAATATGCCAACCCCTCCCGAAATCATTCCTCTGGAGATGCCGCCCGAGTTGCCTTTTAATACCGCCTTCAGCTTGGAAGGCGGCATTCAACAAATCCCCACCCACGACCTCCCCAGCCTGCCCGTGTGCAATCCCGAGGGTGTGAACCCAGGGCAGGAAACACCAGACTTGGTGAACAGCCTACCGCCTCACCCTGGTCCAGTAATAGACCAAGTACAGGAAGCAGATGGTTTCCTGGAGTCACTCCCCTTGGAGAGCCAAGCCAGTCAGGGTCACTGCACCGACGCAGAGAGTGTGGAAGCGCCCAATGAGGAAGTGAACCTCACTGAACAGGAAGTGGTGAATCAGCATGGAGCCAGCACTGCAATCAGTGCATGTAGTGAAGCACTTCCAGAATCTGATAGTGCAGCGAGCAGTAATGGTTCATACAGCTTCAGTAAATCAATGCTGGACAGTAGTTGTGACTTCAGTGCCATCAAAGAACGACTGAGGAAAGAAATCATGGATCAGCCCAACCAGAAGCAGGCCTACTTCACCTATCTGTCCAAGCTGGCCGAGTCTTGCTCCGATGACAAGAACCTGAGCCAAATCCTGGGAGAGTTCAATCACCAGAAATGCTACCTGTGGTCCATTGGGGGCTCTCCAGATCAACCTAAACAATCCACAGATGACTCCCAAGATGTACTTGATACCGCCAGTGATAGCTGGCTGGATGTTGCCTCCCAGTGTTCAGACGAAACCGACAAACTCCTTGAAGCATCAAGCTCACTAGTGGAAGAGCTGGAGCGAGGAGCCCGCCTCCAGGCCAAACCTCTACCGGAAAATGAGATCGGCAGTTGGCGCGATGTCATCGTTCTGTGGCTGGATGAGCAGTCCACTTCTACCAAGAGTGATGATGTCACTGATTCTGAACATGGTATCACAGCTCCCAGTGATGACCTCATCAACAGCGATAATGTCAGAGATACTGTCATAAAAAACAAAGGAACGCAAGACTCCACATTCAAGCCCAATTGCCAGCGTGGCAAGAACATCACAAGTCTATTCTCTGAACAGAAATTGGAAGTCTTGAAAATCCACGATGACGCATCTTTTGATGCCACCGATGATGGTATAGTTCCAGACTCCAATCCTCAGGAAGCATATGAAGAAAGTACCGACTATGGTGTCATCACCAATGGAAAGCAATGGTCACCACCCTCAGAACTCATCGACAGTGGCAACTTCTCAGCTGATGGTACACTAGATGTAAGTCTCTCTTTTCTACTTTTTTGTTCAATGTACTTTGTACATTTGATAAATTCTTTGATTAAGAAATGTTACTCTTAAAACAAAATGTGGATTATGTGATAAATGATTTTATTTAATGGGCAATGCAGTAAAATACATGTACTTGTACATGTATTTCATGAAAACCCTATGGTTTGCTCAGAAAATACTAAAGGTGTACTTCACAGATTGAGTCAGTTTTTTCACACTGATTCTTTGCAAGAAAACAATTCCCGAAAGTCATACATGTACATGTATTTCTTGTTTGTTCAACTGTTCATACGTACACGTACTTTCAGGAGTGTTCTTGTACTGGGTATGTCATGTCCCCAAAATATTTTAGTCCACCAACCTAAAAATCTTTTTGCATCATGTTGAACAATGAGGACAAGGCTGGTTGTAATGTTGAACAATGAGGACAAGGCTGGTAGTAACGAGTACATGATTACACTTTGAATTTGCGCTTCTGTTAAACATTCAGCCTCTCCATTTTACTTGCAAAAGCCCCCAAGCATTTCATATTTCAAGCAACTCCTGTGTTTTTACTGATTATCCACAAGCAGGAAGTCACAGATATCAGTTTCCTTTTAACACAGGAAATGAAAGTGAAATCCCTTTGTGCAGTATAGCTGGCTAGTGTTGATGTAAGCGAGCAAACAGCGCAGCCAACGTGCCATTTCCTCTCAGAACATTCACTGTGGAACCAGTATTTTAAGCCTTTGGACGTGGATTGTGTGACAAAATTATCATCAATAGAACAAGGAGGATGTCTACGTGTAACTCGTTGTCTTCCACTTGTATGGACAATCATCACAGACAAGTTACAGAGACAAACTTTTTAATCATTTTGTTGGGATTATGTCATTAACCCTAACAGCCCTGAATCCTCCAATTTTAATATGATTTTGCACACACCCTAGGGAGTTGGGGTTAATACTAGAATATGAAGCTTAGAGTTATGAGAGCATTACACCAGGTTTCAGTTTAAACTTTCACGTATTTTCAGTTGACAGTGGACAGCCTGGTTAAGGATACATGCACTGTACAACGGTCGTTAAATATTGTTGGATTTAACGGTGGAACACAGCAGTTACATGTACCCGGTAACTGTGTCTCTGCATGGTGTCAGCACACTCTGCAGTGACCTCAAAATTCATTGTTTGGTCAAACCAAGCGTGTACGTGAAGAACAAATATGCGGTCAACAAGTCCACTGCTGTGTTTTGTTGTTGTTTGTGGTGTCCTCTCTACAATGTGAAGTTTGTGAATCTTAAAGTGTACTTTGGCAGTTCATAGACAAAAATAACAAGATCCTGGTTTGCAGGTATAGTCCATCATTTGTCATTTGTGCTGTATGTTCCTCTAATTGGCAACACAATTACTCACAGTCTAAAGAAGGTTGCCCCAGAGCAAATCTAATGAAATTTCAGCTCAGTGAATACTAATTTTACAAGAAAAATTATATTCTAGGATTTTGATATCAGATCAAAAGTAGCTGAGTCATGTTTAGTATTGCGCCCGAATTCAGCATCTGGGGGCAGGTTTTCTTTCATTTTCTTCAAAATGACAGCTTGCCAGGAGTTTAGTCCCTTGACCGTCTTTCAAACCAAGCATGCTGTTCAACAATAATTGTGCCAGTTACTTTTTGGACAACTGAAAATGATGGACTGTACCTTTACAGGAGGTTTGTGCATGTAATGAAACCTGCCATCATTGTATCAGTGCTGATGTATTTTCTGAATGTTTTGCTGTTACAGGATGAGAGTCTTCTGTCTGAGAACCACGTCTCTCCACTTACATGTAGCTCTGACCATCCAACCTGGATGCCCAATGCAGCATCTCCGGAGGATGAGGACCAGGCAAGAAGCCAGCTCATCTCGTCCCCATCAGCCCACCCCGCCCTCATTCTCCCTGACACCAAGGATGCAGCATCCGGCTCGGGTTTTCCTCCCGTCACCTCTGATCACGTCTCTGTCTCTGCCCACCGGCAGGAGTCAAGCTACGTTGGCCGCGTCCTCTGTCTGGGCCTGCCCATCTGCATCTTTCTCTTCTTCTGCATCCTTTTTGTCTTGCTCCTGCCGGCTGTCATCGTCTCGGCAACTGGAGATTGCTCCTTGTCGCTGACCGACAATCTCATGCTGCACAGCCCGAGCTGGGAGCCCTTACTACACTACGTCAGAGGACCTCCACCACAGTAGCTGTTGCCTGCTGTTGGTATGTGATAGTACTCATAAACAGACCTTTCATTCCCTCACAGATGATGACCTCTGTACTGGTGACATCATTCTCTGATTACAAGTGCTTTTTCTGTGGAGCCAGTGAGGGGCCCATGGTCCACTAAACACCACTGGAACACACCCACATACAGTGACGAAATCATCAGTACAGAGGTCTGTTAATGTGATTAACTTATGCATACATGTGTGCGTGAGGAAGTACCGGTACATGTACACTTTTTTCAACAAAAAAAGATAATGGGATTGATAAAATTACCTCTGGTTCTCTAAAATGGCATATAAAACTTGAAAATTTGTTAAATTTTAGCTGCTTAATAGTGGAGAGGACATGTACATAAACAGTGTTACTCAAGTTGAATGAAATCGTCCAACACCTGTTGTGAAACTCTTTCACTTACATGTACATGTAAACTAAACAGCCACTACAGCTAGAAGCCTTTGCTGAGGTTGGACTTTAATTACATGTAGGTTATACATGTACATGTACATATTCAGTGATTGGTCCCGGGACTAACAGGACGCAAAACTTGTGACCACCCAAATGGCTGGGAACGGCACATTTAAAAGCACCTTGAGCTTGCATGTGAGTGTGTTTGCACCTTAGTTGAGTTTGTATCTTACTGTGGTAGGCTGGTCAGTCTACATGTACACGTGTCTCTCCATCCAGTTTTTGACTGGATATCCAATCTAGGAATGTCCAAGTGTCACCCATTGTGTTTACCCCCAAACCCTGGATGTACAGGTATACACCATACCCCTTCTTGCTTGCATAGCCAGGCTGACGTGCTGAGATTACTCCATGCTGAATTTACTCGTACTAACACATATGGGTGACTGCCCAAGACCCAGCAGATCCTTTTGATAAGTTGAAAATCCTAAGAATGAACGGTCTGTAAGTGGCATCTTGTGAGAGATGTTTCAGGCATCTGAAATTGTTGACTTAATACAGAGCTACAAAACGGTTTGTATTCATTAATACTCGCAACTGTATTGGAAATACAGTTAACTATACCTGTGTTATTTCCTTGTATCATGTATATATTGGTGTGACATATACATGTACAGTGTATATATAAAATGTGCTCATGTTCTTTGGTGTATAAGCTTTGCTTTGCCATGTAAATCTGATTTATGAATCATTCTATAAATCTGGGGTCAAAACATCCATTACACCTGACCAATGGAAGCTGACGTGGAAGTATCATTGAAATTGATTTTAAATTTTATTGTTTGTAGCAGGTGTTTTGCATTACTCAATCACTATAAGAAATTAAAGACTGTGTTCCAATCTTGCAAAGTTCTTTGTCAGATGTGACAGGGACATGATTAAAGAATTGGACCCCTGCTTTGTAGAATCACCCTTATGTACTAGCCTACATGTACACCTGATATTAAGCAGTTGTGTTGTAAATATACATGTAAATGTTTGCTTTGTTTGTTCACGTTCAAATGAGGACAAGGTGTTCTGAAATGTCTACAGATTATTGGCTACACACTAGGTTTCCATTTCAGTTTTAATGATTGAAGTTGTGTCCTGTAGCCAATGCACCTTCGTATACTGTGTTATATTTTTGCTTTCAAAGTACATGTAAAACTGTTTCTGCATTCACTGTGACTTAGCGGTAGATTAAACGTTGATATTTATACCCACTGCTACATAGGACCCATTTGTCTTTTAAATTTGGTCCTGCCAAGAGACGGAGAGACGGTTTTTGTAGTTTTCTGAGTGAAGTCTTAGCCATGGTTGCAGGTTGCTGCCTTGGCAGGCTGGTTCCATCCCCCTGGGACTTGTCCTCGTCACTTTATTCCTCTGTCTTGCCATTTACTTTAACTTGATTCATTCTCATCTTGCTTACTCTTGCACACAGTCCCTTCCATCATCTTGCCACAGTTCCCCTTCCCTCCATAATTCTTCTACCCCTCCACCTTTTACCAAACTGTGTCCATCCTTTCTCATTTCTGCTCAAGCACAGACCTTTCCCCTGCCCAACCTCTCTCCCAGCGACCTTTTGTCCCATACATTTACCTTCATTGCTCCCTGCCCTTTTCCAGCCTTATTTTTCTGTTCACTTCCCTGCTTTCCCTCTATGACAGTAAATCATAAGCTTCTCTTATCCTTAAAGCCTTTCAATCAGCATGGCATACTTCTCTCTTTTTATTTTGTCTTTAAGGCATCTTATTTTTCATTCAACTTTGTCATCCTCCCTGGGGCCAGTTTCATAGAGCTACTTAAGTGCAAAATTTGCTTAAGCGCAAAAAGAAACCTTGCTTACAAAACAAAGATTACCAGCTCAAAATCTATGTGATTGTCATGCTAACCAAAAGACTGGTGAATACCATTCAAAAACAATAGACATCTCATGGAGTTTCGGCTGGTAACCTGATTTGTCAAGCAGGGTATTTTTCATGCTAATAAGCAAACTTTGTGCTTAAGCAGCTCTATGAAATTGGCCCCTGTACCAATCTCTGTCTGCCCAGTGTCACACAGTGTGCATTACTCTTTTCCGTTCCTTCCTTTTCACCTCATCAATCTTGTCCCCTTTGGCAAGACCTGGTTCCAATCTCCCTTCTTCACCCTGCTATCACCCCATTCTTTCCATTTCTCATCTGGCCCACCCTCCAATATTTAGTGGCCCTACCCTTCCTCATGACCCATGCCCTCACATCTCCCATTCGCACCTGCCGGTCCACCTGATACCCTTCCACCTTTCCACTCACCCACCTTTGGTGTCCTTTCTTTTATTCTCCTTTCTGCAGTGCCACCACCCAAACTTTGTGTCCTGTTCTTTTCCTCTTGCCCATCGTTGTGCCTTGTTTCACCCCCATTTACCCTTTCCACATCCCACTCCTTTTTCGTTTGCCAACCCACCACTCTGCTAGCTAATTATTTCACTTCCCCACCTTTGAACACGACCCATTCTCATGCCTTCCCTGCCAATCATTTCTCTTTCCTACTGCACTACTGTTCCCCATTTTTGCCTCTCCTTACTTCCTACTTCCGCCTCAGCCATGCCTGACTTTTCCATTCCAGTCCCTGCATACAGGCTTGTGGTCGAGTCCACCTCAAGTCCTTTCACAAGTCCCTTCACAAGACCAGTCATAAGCAAGAGGGAGAACATTGACAAAAGCATGCTATTATCACACTTCAGTTGAATAGCTTGTGATTTGGTTCAGGACTGGCTGACTTGGGATGGGCTCAGAGGGACTTGAAGGAGCTTGTGATGGGTTTGACTACAACTTTGCTACAAATCCCTAGCTTCTCCCTTACTTCCTACTACTTCCTCCTTATGCCTTATTACCTCCCGATTTGCTGAGCATTTGCACTCTCAAGTCCCCTTCCCCTAACATTCCTTGTTTGCTCCTTGAGCCCACCTCCTGGCCTTACCCTTTCTCTCATCCACCCTGATCCTTCTTGTTGCATGCTGCTTCATTTGCCTGCCCATCACTTCTCCTCCCTAACTAATCAGCTCATATTCCCTTTGCCCACCCTTTTCTTATTGGCCCTTTGCTTTCCACTTACCATCATTTGCTCACCTTTTCTTCTTGCCTGTTCTCAGCACAGAGTCCTTTTTTGCCACCTGCAAAACCTTCACCTGCCCCTACCATTCCATTGCCCGACCTCATCCCTTATCCATCTCACCCCAATCCCGCCCGCCTGTCCCTTGGTTCTCACTGCTGCATCTTTCCCACCCTTACTGATTCCCACCATTGTCCCATGCCCATTCTTACCAATTCCCACTTAAGTACATCCCCATATTAACCCATTTTCTTTCCCCCCATCCACCCTTACTCCATTCTTACCTGTACCCCATTCCCACCTTTACTCCATTCCCACCTGTACCCCATTCCCACCTGTACCCCATTCCCACCCTTACCCCATTCCCACCTGTACCCCATTCCCACCCTTACTCCCTTCCCACCC